CATCTCCTAAAGATTCACAGTGTCTCTCAGTAGAACCACCCTAGGGACCAAGACTAACCCATGGACCTCTGGGAAACATTTATCTGTATTCAAATTACCATATTCAAATCCTATATAGTATTGGATTAATCATCTCAAATATAAAGAACTCTTATATTTTAAGAAACAAAGACAAAAATGTGATTTTCTTTTCTTTTTTCCTTTTTTTCCTTCTGTGGTCTGGGGATCAAACCTAGGGCCTTGCATATGCTAGGCAAGTGCTCTCCCACTGAGGTATATTAATAGCCCTCAAAAATGTGATTTTAAAAAATGGACAGTATAAACAGAAAGAAATGCAGATGACCCTTGTGCATGCAAAATTATGCTCAACCTTGGTCATAAGCAATGTGCAAATTAAACTACATGGAGATATTATTTCTCACCCATCAAATTGGGAAAAATGCCATATATACTCACTTAGAAAATCTTGTGAAACAAGAAATTCCACACATTGTTGGTGGAAGTATAAAATGATAGTGTATTATCTGTTTTGTTGTTGTTGTTGTTGTTTTTTACATTGGGGATTGATACCCAGGGTTATTTTACCCACTGAGCTATATCCCCATCCTTTTTTATTTTATTTTTAATTTTGAGATGGGACCTTGCTTAGTTGCTGAGGCTGCCCTCAACATGTAATCTTCCTGCCTCAGCCTCTTGAGAATGATATAATCTTCTTTTTTTAAGATTTTTTTTAATTGCAGATGGACACAATAGCTTTTTTTTATTATTATTATTTTAATGTGGTGTTGAGGATCGAACCCAGTGCCTCACACATGCTAGGCAAATGCTCTACCACTGAGTCATAATCCTAGCTTGATATAATCTTTATATAGGTAAAAATTGTAAAAATATAGTTGATCTAATAATCTACTTTTAGAAATTAACTGAAATCTATTCTGAAACTAGTCTTGTACAAGGTTGAAATATTACTTATATGAAGTTATTCATTATGGCATTATTTATAGTGTTGAATGTTGGAAACAACCCCAAAGTTCTTCAGTACAAGGGTGGTTGAAAAAATTGTTCCATCCACTCCATTGAATACTACTTACCTGTTCAAACTAATGAGGAAAATCTATATTATCTGATATGAATTAATGGCCAAGATATATTTTAAGTGAAAAATAAAGGTACAGAATAGTGTTAATAGTATGCTACTGATTTTGTATGTAAAAAGAAGAATAAAGAAAAATGTATTTATAAAAAATGCTGTAAGTATAAAAAAAAAAACAACTAATAAAAGTGGTTACCTTTAGATGTGACAACAGGGAATGAGGCTAAAAGGCGTGAAGGAATTAAAACTATTCTACATGTGCCTTTATATAGCTTTGATTTATGAACCTAAAAATGTTTCCACAATATATAATCTAAGTCAGTGTGGCCCAGTGGCAGAGCGCTTGCCTTGCACATGTGAGGCCCTGGGTTCAATCCTCAGCACCACATAAAAATAAACAAAATAAAGATATTGTGTCCACGTATAACTGAAAACACATTTTAAAAAAACTAAATCAACAAGGAATAGATCAACAAGCAAATTCTAAATAGAAAACAAGAAGGGAATTATCTAAACTGTACAGTTGTGGCTCAGCACTCTACCGCTGAGCCACAACCCCAGCCCTCTTAATGTGTTCTTAACAAAAGTATTTAACCTAAATCATCTAAGATAAAATAGTAAGATAATCACATAGGTAAAAACATTTTTCAAACAATTCTAGAATACTTTGTAAATCCTTTGGTGGAACAAAAAAAACTATAAAATAATTTTAATCCTCATTCAATAGATAGTATCCTTATTAATTTCTAGCAGTGATCTTGATACTGCATACTTAGAATTATGTAAATAAGGAATAAGGAATTATGTTCCTATTATTAAGAGCCAAGATTTTCAAGTAAGTAAGATAAATTAAACACAAGTCTAAATTCAAAAGCATTTTAAAAATTCTGTGATATTTAATTTGAAAATAGCAATATGAATTCAGTTTTGTTCAGTGCTTTTTCTATACATTAGAAGCAGTAGCAATGAGCACCTAGATTTTAGACTCTACATACTCTTCTTTACTAAGAACAACTAGGATTCCATGGGAAAGTAGCTGATTTTTTAGTCTAGAGCAGTGCTTTTAATTTTTTAAAAATTCCTATGCCGGGCACACTGGCACATACCTGTAATCCTAGTGGTTTGGGAGGCTGAGGCCAGAGGATCAAAGCCAGCCTCAACAAGTTCAAAGCCAGCCTCAACATCATAGCAAGGTGCTAAGCAACTCAGTGAGACCCTATCTCTAAATAAAATATAAAAAAGGGCTGGTGTCTGCCTAATAAATAAATAAATAAATGTTAAAATTCTCTCTCTCTCTCTCTCTCTCTCTCTCTTTAAAAAAAAAGGGGGGGGGGGCTGGGATTAGCTCAGTGGTTAAGTGCCCCTGGGTTCAATCCTGGTTCAATCAAAAAAAGATTAAAAAAAAAACCCTATATCCCAGGAGCCTTTTTAGACACCCCCCACCCATCACCCTATACCACATGAAAATTTGACACCACAAATATATCATCTATCTGCTTATGTATGGTGACTATTTGATGAACCACAGACCTTTGGAATATCTTAAGGCTTTTTCATCCTCACCAAGAACCATGTTTTTGAGAAGGCATGGAGAGAGCAAGGAAAACATAAGGTAATCCTGGGGCTTGTTGTAACAGAAAGCAAGGAAGCAGTCAAGCCTGGAGGCTCCTACTTACTGGAATTGTAATAATTTGAGCATTATGAAGAGTAATTTACTAAAGTACATTGAATATATAAAAATTAATAAGCCCATACTTAATCTTACAAAAAAAGAACAAAAATAAAATAAAATAATATTCCCCTGCCAACTTTGGACAATTGCTTCACCAATTCTTTCTTTGAAAACTAAAGGCTAATAAACACTATGCTGCCTTTTCAGTGAGAATTGTAGTTTGATTTGATCAAATAGCTCTAATTGAAGAGGGAAAGAACTTTTTTTTTACAGAAAATATTGATAGAAGTAGAAAACCATCATTTGACACCTCTAATACAATAATTAAGGATTGTCAAAGTAGACTAACACCATTTAGTGAAATGTTTATAGGGAACTAGACATTACCAAAAGGATCACCCATAAGCAGAAGGAGAAAACTTTGCAACGGTGAGATCTTTTGGACATCACCCTAACCCAGTTAGAAAGTCAGCTTTGACAAGGACACATTATGTGTCTTCAGTATTATTCAATATAAAGTACACATGATCACCTGTTAATGTATTATTATATTTTTTTTGGTGGGGTGGGGGGTAACTGGGGATTGAACTCAGGTCCACTCAACCACTGAGCTACATCCCCAGCCCTATTTTGTATTTTATTTAGAGACAGGGTCTCACTGAGTTGCTTAATACCTCGCCATTGCTGAGGCTGGCTTTGAACTTGCAGTCCTCCTGTCTCAGCCTCCTAAACCACTGGGATTACAGGCACGTGCCACCACATCCAGCCCTCTTAATGTGTTCTTTTTTTTTTTAAATATTTTTTAGTTGTAGATGGACACAGTACCTTTATTTATTTTTATGTGGTGCTAAGGATCGAACCCAGTGCCTCACACGTGCCAGGCAAGCACTCTACCGCTGAGCCACAACCCCAGCCCTCTTAATGTGTTCTTAACAAAAGTATTTGACCTAAATCACCTAAGTAGGTCTTTTATGTCTAACTTCCAGTTTATAGAAAATGCAAGGATTAATTAAATAAGTTAAATGATTTTATGAGGAAGTAATCAGGTAAGTTCAGGACGTAGGATGTGACACTCTGCAATATAACTGTCCTGTTTTTTTCAAAAAGTTATAAAGGAAAGTTGAACTATTTTAGACTAAAAGAGATTTTAGCTGGGCATGATGGTGCACACCTATAATCCAGTGACTCAGGAGGCTTAGGTAGAGGATTGCAAGTTTGAGGCCAGCCTCAGCAATTTAGTGAGACTCTCAGGAACTTAAGTAAGATCCTGTCTCAAAAAATTAAAAGGACTGGGTAATAGCTCAGTGGTAAATTCCCCTGGGTTAAATCTTCAGTACCGGGCTGGGGATGTGGCTCAAGCGGTAGCGCGCTCGCCTGTCATGCGTGCGGCCCGGGTTCGATCCTCAGCACCACATACAAACAAAGATGTTGTGTCCGCCGAGAACTAAAAAAATAAATAAATATTAAAAAAAAAAAAAAAAAAAAATCTTCAGTACCAAAAAAATAAAAACAAAAAATAAATTAAAAAGAATTTTTAAATACTTTTTTAGTTGTAGATGGACACAATATCTTTATTTTATTTATTTATTTTTATATGATGCTGAGGATTGAACCCAGTGACTCACACATGTGAGGCAAGTATTCTACCATGAGCTACAACCCCAGCCCAAATTTAAAAATTTTTAAATAGAGATTTTAAAGGAAAAAAGAAAATCAATACATAATTCATGTTTTCTATGTTCCTGCTATGAAAAGACATTTTGGAAATGTGGGAAAATTTGAATAGGGCTGGGCATTGGATGGCATTAGGGGAATTATTTTTAATTTTGTTCACATTATTACTGGTGTTGGGTTACATATGAATAATTCCTTATTTTTAAAGACTCATATTGAAATATTCAGATATAAAATGTTTCATAATATCTATCATGTATTTAAAGAACATTAACATGAAGAAATAGCAAAAGAATAAGGAAAATAAGCAAAAATGACTAAAGTGTTAAATCTAGGAGATGAGTGGGTATTAAATGAGCTAGCCTCTCAACTACTTTTAAAAAATATATTTGGAAAAGTTTATAATATAGGATTTAAAAAAATTATTCTGGTTTAAGTGAAGGGTTCCTAGGATATTTTAATTCTCAGTCCAAGGAATAGTAAGTTAAATTTTGAGAACCTCTGGCTCTTGGATTCTTCATGTGCCTTTTGTTCTTCCCTCTCTCCCCTCCACCTGTGCAGCCCTCTTTGACTCTATGCACAGCAACCAGGCCTCAGATAGCCCATTTTCCCCACCCCGTACTCTTCATTCACCTCCCCTGCAACTTCGGCAGCGCTCTGAGAAGCCCCCTTGGTGTAAGTAAACCTTTCTAACTGCCTGGACCAAAACCATGAGGGATGGAGGGATTGGTGAATAAGGGACCTGATGCATGAGAGGAAAGACGAAGGTTGAAAGACCAGGAATGATCATTCAGGATGCAGTTGCATCTGCTCTTTCCAAGATGGAGGGAGGATCTGTTTGTGCTCTTTCTTCACCTCTGTCCTCCAGGATCCCTCTATCTAGTTGGATAGGCTCCTCAAAGACAGTGACCCAGAGGCCCTTTGGGGAAAAAAGGATAGAGACTCTGTTCTACTCAGATATGCTTTTAGTGTCTCTACAGCTTTCTTCAGTAAAGAGAACTAGGAGGCAACCTAGATACATAGAAAATTTGGAGCTACTCATTTCTATATGTCCCTTCTCTCAAGTTGTCTGTTCTCAATTCAAGTCAAGGTGCTGCTTTTTCCTTGCTTGTCTTTATTATCTCTAGCCTGTCACTAATTACTCTTGGTAACAACACGAACAACAGAGCCACAAGGAGTTACTAGGGTGATAGGAGGGAGGAGGAGATACCAGTGGTCATCAGAAGCACTAGTGAAAAGGAAATTCTTTCCTTATCATCCTGCCTCTGGGGAAAAACTGGAACCAAACATGCCTTACATTATTTCACTTGGATAGGCCTGAAGCAGATTTATATTTCAGCAATGGGGTTTAATAGACGTAAAAATTTGCCTTTCCTCTGATACTCTGTATGAGGAAAAAACTTTGCTGACAACAATAATTCTTTATGATCTTTTGATTGCCCTACATGCACCTTGCCATTGCCCCTTTTACCTCTCTCCTGGTGAGTGTATGGGAAATCTTATCCTTCTCCCTTTTTGATTTGCCTAAAATAAATCAGACTATTGGCTGGCTATAAAGTCTACTTCTATACTTGGGGAAAACTCAGCTTACATCTTTTCTTCTCCTTTCTTTTTTTCTTCCTGCTATCAGACTTTCATTGCTAAACTTCTCCTTTGTGCTCTGTCTGTACCATAAATAGGTTGCATATCTTGCTGGCCCCAAATCATGTTCCTCCTTTTTTCTACTTGAAGCATTCCTTCTCTATTCCTTTACAGAAAAGGAATAGCTAGCATATTTTAAATTCAATGCCTGATTGAGCCTTTGCAGACTCAGGTTTTCCAACTTTCCCAGCTTCTCTTTGATTATGCTATATCCCGGTCTCCTTTTTTCCAGAATCTATCATGGCATTTGAATATATAAAATACCCTCAATAAGTACAGTATTTACAAAAAGAAAATAGGTTAGTAGTCTCCTATTAGCGGTGAAAGAAGAAGTAGAGATTGGGGTTGGAATTATCCCATAGTGTGATTGAAGATCTTCATTATACTATTGTCAGGATCTAGAAAATTAGTTTTTATGCTTTCTGTATATATGATATGTGCAGACCTGTAAAATTGCATATTCCAAGGCTTAGAGCATCTTAACCTTGGTTCCAGGGATGGGTTTCAGAGTAGAGACTGTGAACTCCAGGAATCATATGTAAAGACGAATGTGAACATTTGCATACGTCCATTTTCCTGAAATATAATTCATTACCTTCCTTAGAGCCTCAAGGGGGCCAGTGACCCTCAGAAAGGCTAATTAAAAACTTCTTCCATTTGAAGATTCTGCAGCAGTCTTTCATCTTTGGGTAAACCATTTCTTTCCTATGGTTCTGATTTACAATTTTTTTCTACATTCTTTTTTGCTTACGTATCTCTTGGAATATAAACAATGATGTGCTGTGCTTCAGAAATATATTGAATACTTTAAAGAATGATTCTTAACAAAAGATATACATCAGATTCAACTGGGAGTGTTTCAACAAAATGATATTATCCTCATCCTCCCTGCTTCCCTCACCCATGCCTTTATACAAAACTAAATTAGAATCTCTGGAGATAGAAACTGGAAATTTGTTTTTAAAATTTTTTTCACAATTTTGATATGTAAAACTAATTATGAACCATTAGGCTAACATGTACATATGCATCTAAAGTGAGAATGAGGAGCCATAGGAATTTAGAGTTAAGATGAGAGTATATTTGTGAAAGAACCAGATGAAATAGCCCTCATTATTTTCTCCTGAAGTCTTAGAGGAACCTTAGTGCTATTCATATAGTAACCATTAGACCAGGGTGACAATTCCTGAACTGGGCAAATTTAGTATCTATTGAATTTGGAATTCAGTTCCTCTTTCCCCAGATCGCAAGCAGCACAGGCCATCCATTCTAGCATTTGAACTATGCATAAGATAGAGCTTACTCTTCTAGCTTGTCTCACTTGTTCTCCTGACTTTGCTTTGTAGACAGCAGTGGCCCTTCCAGCACTGTGTCCAGTGCTGGTCCCTCCTCCCCTACTGCAGTGGATGGCAACTCCCATTTTGGCTTCAGTGATCAAACCTCTCTAAATGCACATGTGATGGAAGAAAGTCAAGGCCTTGGGCTGTTCCAGGAGATGCATGGAAATGAAATACTACAAGAGTTCCCCATTGAAGGGCAACAAGAGCTTTCTGAACTACACCAGTCCCCACAGGAGCCACCTGTGGGAACCAGCCAGCCAAGAGGCCAGGAAGTTGTTGAGAAGGTCAGCCAGCCATGCCAGGTGATCCCTGATATCAGCCAGCCATGCCAGAAGAACCAAGATACTCTTACCCACACATGCCCACCATGCCAGAAGGCCAGCAAACTATGCCAGAAAGACTCTAAGGAAGTTTGCCAGCTTTGCCACAAGAACCATGATGATGTGAGCCAGCCGTGTTGGGGGATTTCTGTGGAGGTTGGCGGCCTGGTCCAGGAAACCCTTGAGGAAGTTGGCAGGCCAATCCAAGAGATCCCTGAAGAGATCAGCCAGCCATGCCAGGAGTTCTCTGTAGAGGTTGCCAAGTTGGCCCAGGAGGCTTTTGCAATCAATCTTTTGTCTCAAGACATCCCTGAGGTTGATAAGCCATGTCAGGATCTCCCGGGGGAGACTGATTTGCAGGCCCAGGAGATCCCTGAGGAGGTTAGTCAGCAATCTTGGGTGGTCCCTGAGGTGATTGATCAGCTGCCTAGAGAGGATGCTCCCCAAATGCAGTGTCTGTCTAGTGATCTAAAGCCAGTCTCTAGCCCATGACCAGCATTCATTCCTTCCACCAGCAACATGTAATTGATCATTTTCTCATTATTGGTGTCACATTATACCAGCTATTTGAGTCAGAAACTTTTTGTGTTGGCTAACTCACTGATCAGAGTGAGGCCTTGGCTCACAACAAAGGTGCCTGAGGATGCAGTCCTCTTGGCATGAAGCATGCCTGTGCCAGGGCTGAGCTTGGGGAGGAGCTAGTTTCATGTTCAAAGCAGCCACTGGCTTCTCACTTAGCCATTAGACTTGAATATGATTTCCTTGGGATAGGCTGGTCTATCGTTACCTAACCTACTCTGATTATCCCAGGAAATCTCAGATTGTTAACTGCTGAAGACACCACTGTGGACAGGAAATGCAAAATGGGGGACTCCAGGGTCTTTTCTTTTCTGGGGAAATATTCAAAACTTTTTCAAGGTACCTTAGACCAGATGTGCATTCAGGGGTTCACAACTTCTTAAGGTACCTTAGATTAGATGTGCATTCAGGGGGACTCTAGTCTTTTAATCTCAGGTGGGCCCTGGATGGCCATCTGAAATGTCTGGAAAATAGAGTTCCTTTCCCAAACATTGTCATGGCCACTATTCTTCAGACTGGGCTTATAGGTATTTCCATATCATCTCCAAGTGATCCCTGTACCACAGTTCTCCTCCTCTGGGCAATTATTTTAGGAAAAAATAGGTATTAGACTGCTGTGCAACTTCAGAGTAACTACTTAAAATGCTCTGGAGGAGTTTTGGCCAATCTGTGAAGCTGGGCCTCCTTTTGTTGTGGGGCTATTTGGCTTAGGAGATGCTGTAGTAGAGAATCAGGTTCTATTTTAAGCAATTAACAGAGATCAATATTGTACAGACATGAGCAAAGATTTTATATATATATATATATATATATATATATATATATATATATATATATTTATATTTATATTTATATTTCTGTAGTTTGCCAGGGACAGACTGGCCAAAGACCAAACACTCCAGGGTCCCCAAGAAGTTTGTCCTCATATCATGTATCTTTAGAACACATGTGATTATAAAGCTTTTCCCAAAGATCTGGGGATGGGAGTGGGGGTGGGTAGGAAGGGTAATGCAGTCATTGGAGTTGGGGGCCGGAACATTATGAGTGCTCAATAAATATGAAAGAACGAAAATGGTGATGGTGGTGGTGATGACTTTGTGAATTTAAGAATGAAGATGACTGTTAGTTAATCTGTGTCTGTGACTGAATCGGAATCAGTCAAAAGCCATTACAGTTTAGCAACAATGGGCCATAAAAATGTAGAGCTCTGGCATCCCAGAAGGTCCCTGGAGCAGTCAGCCCACCATCTCAAATGTCTTTAATGAATAGACTGCTGGGTAGTGGGAGTGGAGATTTGTGTTGAGAAGCACCAGAGGGTACTTGACCCTTGGAGTCTTCGTTTAATTTTTCATTCTGATGACTTGGAATGAATGTCAGGAGGACTTGATATAAAGAGGCCATGTCCCTTCTCTTTCCCACTGACATCTTTACATTGGGAGAACCCAGAACACAAAGAGGACTACAATATCCCCCTCCCTATAAAGGGTTTTGGGGAGGGACTTAACTTTTTACTACATGAGTACTATAAATACAAAAGTGGAGAACTCCAGGGTCTTTACTTTTCTGGGGGAATAGTCACAGTGACTATACAATGAGGGGGCATTTCCAACCTCAATAGGCTCTGGATCTCATAGGGCCCCTCAACTCCTTACCCGTTTGCTATTTCTCTATCCATTTAAAATGGTCCTCTGCTGTTGACCCCCTGGAATACAGATCCCATTCCCAGGAGGCATCCTACCCCTCTTCCATCCCCCAAACCAAATGTATGTTCTCACCTTACACTCCTATTCCCCATACTCAGGCATTCTTTTCCATTTTCAGAAATTATGCTGGCTCCCATACTATTTCTCCCTTCACCCACCCTGACTATGTTCTCTGGCTCCCTCTGGGTCGTGGAACTGCTTCCAGTAATAAAAGGAGTCTTCCAAGATAAATGACAATGCTGGTTGAAGCAGAGAGGTAGAAGCCAGGGCCCAGAAACTCAGCAATGTGTGGAGTCCAAAAAAGCCTAAGCAGTACTACACCATCTGCAATGAACTTGATTTATTGTTAGACTTGGAGGCAGCTCTGTTACAGCAGCTGGGAACTATAGCAGGAAAAGTGCAGGGAGGAGCAGAGCACAGCAGCACGGAGAGGGTGGGAGCTAGGAAGAACACAAGGTGGGCTCATTTTGGTTTCTCAGTCACTTGGCAGAGAAGGTGAGCCCCAATGACTATCAGCGTCTGGATTTCTCAGTCCAGCAGTAGTCTGACGGGGCTGCTCACTGGCTTGCTTGGGGTGAGGTCCTCTCCTGGGGTGGTATTTTCACTTCACTCTGTAGGAGTTAAGCTATAGCTCAGTTTCATCTCCCTCTTTCCTTCCTCCCTTTGTCCCCCAAGTCCGCTGGCTTGGTCTCCACCTTCCAGATCCTCTTTCCAAGACTTTGGGTTTGGAGAGGCAGCCAGTGTTCCCATTTCAGCTGCAGAATGGCATAGTGAAATGTTGGGGGAGTCACACATGGCTGGGGTGTCAAATGTTGGGATGTCAGGCAGTGGCTTATTTTTAACCCATTACACACCAGGCCACAGCAGATGACCACATGCAGAGAAGCCAAGCAGAGGATGTGAAGGTGTCAGGATAATTAGAATGGGGTGACTGAAAACTTCAAAGGGTCAGGGAGTTTGGAAGAATTGGGATTGGGACTGGGGCTCTCCTTGCCCTTTTGTGCTGCCTTATAGGCCTGGTCTGGGTACAGCCCTAGGATGTGAATGGTATGAAGCAGGGACTGGGAGATAAGTTCCTTTCTCCTCTCACCAGTCTGTTGGTCTAAAGAGCTTCAAGTTTTGGATTGAGACATTCAGATACTGAAGAAGCAGTAGGACAGTGTAGCAGTGGTGTACCCTAAGACCCCTGCTAGAACTCAGACCTTGGCAGCAAAAGGAATGGAAGATGGAGGAAAGGGTGCAGCTGTGGGCACCTCACTGATAGTATCCTATCCCCACATAAATTACTAATGGAAATCCTTCCAGGGATGCTAAATAAATAGAGATAAGGAGGCCCCTGGGATTGGGGATATAATCTCCCTCCATGAGGGAGGAGGTTGCTGAGACCCATCCTCACTCCCCATCCAATACCAAACTTGGCAGTGCTAGGAGAGGGTACCACTCCAGGGTTCTCAGGCATGGGGTGACCTCTTATCCTAATTTTTTGCCCTCCCTCATACTATCCCTGTTACCTTTGGTTTTAAGACCCCTCTCAGAAATTAATGAAGGGAAGGGATAATACCTCCCATTTAGCCCAGACCAAGTCCCCACAGCAAGACACTGCCCACCCCCCAGCTCCATCTCCCACATCCCCAAAGGACACAGCAGTAGCCATTCTCTAAAGGAGCTGGGGGAGTGGATCCTGGGTAAGGGAGGGAGGTTCTTTCAGAACTCAATCTTGCAGGCTGGGAAGGACTCATCCTGCATGACCACAGTGCTGCTACTAGCCAGGACCAAGACGTTCAGTTGCTGCTGCTGCTCATGAGTCTGCTGGTACCACTCACGAGTCACCTCCGTGTCATGAGTGGGGATCAGAGTCACCTAGGAGGGAGACAAGACATACCTGATGTGAGATCATGAAGGGAAGGTAGGTGAGAGGTAGGGGCACCTGATGGTCTCAGAAGTAGCCTGCTGCCCAAGAAAGGACCATGTTGTTTTATGAATAGGGACTATGTTCTGCTATTGCCTCTAAGAAGCTTTGAACAGAATACTTCCTTGGCATCTCTTGCTACTCACCTGAAGATTCTCCCCCCACTGAGCCTTGCCCTCCAGCAGGGCATCCAGCACAGCCCGGCTTGGCTCGCCATTGGCAGGGTCATTCCCACTGACCACATAGTAGGATGCACGGACTCGACGGAAGAAATCAAGGTCAGCAGTCTTGCCACTACAATGATTTGGTATATAGGCGAGATCCACGTATACAGGGGAGCCAGAGCCACCCTTGGAACCTAAGGTCACTGTAGAAACAAGCCAGGACATATTGTAGAGGAAAAGTAGTACCCTCTTGGCAACCTTCCCCCTCTTTCCCATGGCTGGAGCCTTTGACTAGCCCATACGGAGCCCAAACCCACAATCTCCTCCTTCCTCTTTTCATGATATACTCACTTGGTCCTGCCTTGAGTCCATTGACTAGGCCTTTGGACATGGGGCTATGTCCATCCTTTTCCTCTGCTGGGGTGACCTGGGTTGTAGTGCTGCGTGGTCGGGGGGGTGCCCGAGATGCACGATCTACAGGCCCTTTACCAGGGGTGGGTGAACGTTTTCCCCGAAGATCCAGACGTCGTGCCGGGGATGCTGGCTTGGCCCGGCCTGGGGCCCGGCGCCCTACTCGCCCCTGAGCCTTCTCCTTTTCTCGAAGCCTCTCTACCCTCCCAGACTCTGAGCTGAGCCCCTCAGGGTCAGCCATGCACACATCAGGGCGGGGAGGGGATGGGTGGGGGTCTGGCTGGGGAACAGGGGGTGGGTCATGGCCAGGTCTGGGATGGTGAGTTCCACTGACCCCCCCAGCTTTGTCCACAGGTAAGAAGTCCCCATCTTCATCTGAGTCTAGCACTGCCTCAGCTGTGATGGACGGACACTCCTCAGTTTCTGGTGGAACATCAGAATCTGACTGTGAGGAGCCTGAGTCACTGGCTGACGTGGGGGGTGTCTCATCAGCCACAGGGCATGGGCCCCCTGTGGCCCCTGGACCTCCAGCCCGGCGCCGCCCCACTTTTCCTAGCAATCGAGCTTCTTCAGTTGAAGGGTCACTGTCATCTGTGAATGGGGGCAGAGGGGGGTTCAGGAAGGATGGGGAAAGCTCCCCACGGTGTGGCCGGGGATCGGCAGCACATCCCTGAGGCCCAGCCTCAACCTCAGAAGAGACACTGTGGGGTGAGCCAACAGAACCCTCTCCAGGACACAGGGGCTGCTCAGGAGAGAGCAGTGTGTCAGGCCGAGAGCTTCTCTCAGCTCCCTCAGGCCAGGCCCCTCGTTCCCAAGCAGGACAGGCCTTAGCCTCTTCTTTTTCCGTCTTGGCTGTGGCAGGGCCTGGGGGATTCGGGCTGGTTTCAGTTGGGCCATTGGCTGCACAATCCCCAGTGGGACCCTGGCAGGGGCTCAGCTTCTTGGTGGCTTCCCCTGAGCACTCTAGGCGGCAGGGCAGGGTGCCATCATCCATGTCTCTAGCCAAGCTTGGAGCTGGAGCCGGGGCCAACTCCAGTGAAGCTGGGGGTGCTGGGCTCAGAGGAGTGAGGTCCCAGAGGCTGTGGGCAGCTGGCTCCATTCCTGGGTCCAGCTCTCCTGACCCCTGTTCTGCAGCTTCCAGGCCTGAAGGGAAGCGCTCAGCCACACTTGAAATCACAGGTGTGGTAGCCTCAGAGGAGGAGCCTTCAGACAAGGCTGGCGAGGCAGGTCGTGGCAGACTGGAGAGGAGAGGGGCTCCAGGAGAGCTGGGTGATGGGAGCTGGGGCAGAGAGGAGTCCAGGCTGGGGGCCTTGGTCACTTCCAAGTATTCATCATGCTGGGTTCTGGCTGGGGGTCCTGGAGCCAGAGCCAGAGCTCGGTCCCCAGAGAAGGCGAGAGAGCCACAGGGTGCAGAGCGGGGTTCAGCTGGAGAGGGCAGCTGAGGGGGAGCAGGCTGCAATGAAGAAAAACCAAAGGCTGAAGCAGGGAAGTCCAGGCTGGGTCGGGCAGGACCCAGGTGTGAGTCCATGGAAGGGCTGGTATGTGTCTGAGTTTCAGGCCACAATGTGGAGGGCCCTGCAGGGGTGGGACGAGGGGGACTTGGGGACTGAGTCTCTTTTTCTGGCTGTTCCCGAGCCCCCTTCTCCAGCTCTGAGTCACTAGTGCTGTCATCCCAGTGACCCTGGACTGATTCTTTGGGGGACGGGGTCCTCCTATCTGGTCTACAGGTTAGAATGTTACCATTGAGAGGAGGGCTTGGGCCTTTGCTGAGGGGTATAGGGACACGGGGGGGCACTGCAGGTGGAACGAGGCTGGGCTCCACACTAAGCCCTAGCTCAGGCTCCTGCCTGGGGGGCACAGTGGGACCTGCCAGGGCTGCATAGCTAAAGCTTGAAGTGTCAGATTGGAGGTTCTTGGGTGAGACAGGAGAAGAAAGCTCCTTCTCTGCAGACGTGTCTCGGCCAGCAGCTTCCTCTTTGGTTGAGAGGCGTGGGGGCCAATCCCCAGCTGCACCAAGTGGAGGCTCCCTAGTGGGGCATGCAGGGCCAAGTCCAGTAAGCATCATCTGCTCATAGATGTCTGCATACTGAAAGCTTCTCTCATCAGGATAGGGTGTGGGCTCCCTTTGTTCTGGCTCAGTCTGTTCAGTATCCCTGGTGGCATGGCTCTCACTGGCCTCTGGGACCTTTGAGCTACAGGGGCTGCTTTCAGGAGCCCCAGCTCCACTTTCCCCTTCCCTTTCCCCTTCAGCCTTGCGGTAGTCCTTCCCTAGGGGGGAGTATGGTCCTCCTTCCAACTCAGCTGCCCCCTCCTGCACTGCAGCCACTACACTGTCATACTCAGCTGTGCCCCAGGAGAAGGGTGCAGGAGTGTGTGGCTCTGGAGCAGGTGTAGGAGGAGCTGGAGCTGGGGAGAGGGGTGCAGGGGGAAGGGGTCTATCCTTAGGCACCCACGGTGGGATGTCAGCCAACCATGAGGGGGTGGTGGGTTCATTCCTCATGGGGGGCATGGGCTTAGTCTCTGGAATAGGACTTTCTTGTCCTGGGGCTGAAGGAACCCGCTGTCCAACCATTTCAGGTGGAGAGGTTGGAGGGGAGATGATCTCAAAGGGAGAGCGGGTCAGCTTGTCCTCTTCCTCTGGTGGCAGCCCAACTGGTGACTCGGCAAGCCAGCGCTCCACTTCCAGCCCTTTTTGTGGTGAAGTCTCCTGGAAATCCTTGAAATCTGAGGCCCAGGGACTCCGGGGCGTCTGCTGCAGAGGGGATACTTCCTGTTCATCTGGTCCCTCATCGAGGAAAGTGCTCTCTCGTTCCTGGGTGTACCGTGGGCGGACACCCTGGCCATCCAGTTCGTGAGGGAACCAGACCTTCCTCTCACAGCTCAGCTGTCTCCAGTATGCATCCTGTTCGAGTGTCACATCTCTGTCCCTCCAATACCTGACTTCCTGCTCAGGAGATGTGTCCTTCCACACTGGTACAGGATCTTTCTGTTTTCCAACTGGCTCCTCTCTGATTGGAGGTGTTTCTTGCCACTCCCGGACCATACCCTGCTCCTCCCAGTACCTGTCTTCCTGCTCTTGGCCCTGTTCCTCCTGAACTGGACTCTCTTCCAGTCCCAGAGCTTTGGTCTTCTCCAGCAGAGTTCCTCCCTTCTGTTCTGCAGCTCTGACCTTTTCTGGAGATTTTTCTTCTACTGTTGTCTCCTTTGGTTTCATGGTTTTATCCTCCTGAATGAAGCTTTCCTGTCCCTGAGTTTTGTCCTTTTCTTCCAAAGCCTTATCTTTCTGTTCAGCAACCTTACTGTCTTGTTCCAGGGCTTCATCCTTCTTTCCTAAGGCCCAATATTTTTGTTCTAAGGACTGATCTTTCTTTTCTAAGGCCTTATCCTGTTCCTGGGTCTTGTCTTTCTGTTCAAGAATTCTGTCTGTCTGTTCTAGGGCTTTGCCCTTTGTTTCAGGGACTTTGTCTTCTGGAACCTTATCTTTATGTTCAGAATCTTGCACTCTTTGTTCTACGGCTTTGTCTTTCTCTTCTCCAATCTTGTCTTTTTGTTCCAAGATCTTGTCTTTTTGTTCCTTGTCTTTTGATTCAAGTGTTTGGTCCTTCTGTTCCAGGACTTTGTCTTTTTGTTCTAAGTCACTATGTTTTTTTTCTTTATCTTTTGATTCTGTGGCCTTGTCCTTCTGTTCTAGTGCTATGTCCTTTTGTTCCAGGGCTGTGACCTTGTCTTTTTCTCCTGGGATCTTGTCCTTCTGTTCCAGGAGCTCATCTTGTTGTTCTAAGACTTTGTCTTTTGTCTTCTGCTCTAGCCATGTATCCTTTTGGCCTATGTCTTTGCCTTTTTGTTCCAAATCCTTATCCTGCTGTCCCAAAGCCTTAACCTTTTCTTCCAAAGTCTCACCTTTTTGATGCATGGTTGTATCCCTTTGCTCTACAACAATATCTTTCTGGTGCAGAATTCTGTCCTTTTGATGTAGGATTTCATCCTTTGGCTCGGGTTCTTTGTCTTCCTGCTCTGGGGTTCTGTCTTTCAACCCCAGAACCTTACCTTCCCACTCCATGGCAATGTCTTCCATGGCAGGACTTGGCAAAGACTCAGGACTCTTGGTGAGGGAGTTATCAGATGTTAGATGTTCACTGGGGCTCGTGATTACCCCAGGTGAGTGCTTTCCATCCCCTGACAGTGTAGAGTGAGAGAAGGAGCTGGCAGGTAATTTTCTGTCAGGGCTCTCATCTGTGATATGTATCTGTGAAGAATATACAGTGGTCCCATCTGTGGGAGGTGACACTGTGGCTACATTGGGCTCTGGAACAGATACAGGAGCTAGATGGTAAGAGGTGTCATCAACCTGCATTAGAGGCCCCTTTTCATCCTTTTCAAGGCTTAGTTCTCCAAACTGGAGGGTGCCAAGGCTTTCTGGAGAGAGCTGCTTTGAAGAGATATCCAGAGAGGTCTCCTTGCTAGGACTCTCTTCTGACAGAGAAGGTGATTGTGTGCCTTCTGGAGAAAACTCTGGCCAAAGATCTTTATGTAAGTGCTTCTCTGTCAGACCACAGGGAGATCTGGGAGTAGGCTCTTGTTTGGCGGTATCTGGAGAGACTACACTGAGGACAGACAGAGACTCTGCATCTTCAGGGGAAAGGCTTTGATCAGGAATTAGGAGTGTCTCATCTTTCTGAGGTTCACCAGGTTCTTGGAGTGATGTCCTCAATTCTCTGGGAATGGCTTCTGTTCCCAAAATTGGGCCTGGAAGCCCAATTCCTGCCTCCATAGTCTCTCCTGCCTCTATGGTTTCAAAGACTATTGCTTTGTCCTGTTCTGGCAATAGCTGAATGGTGCAGCCGGTATGTATCCCAACAATGCTGGCAGGTGCTTCCTGGGCCTGTGGGCTCTTGGGAGGAGGCACCTTTTCCTCTTTCTCTAGTGTTCCCTCTTCAGGCCCTGGCTTGACTGACTCTTTGGCAGCATCTTCCTTGCCCACAACTGGTGTGTGCTTAGTGTCCCCCCATGAGTCATCTTCTTGAAAATCTTGGGGCTCAGACTTATCTTCAACCGGGGACTGATGAAAGGGTGTATGGGTGGCACTGGGTGGGCCAGATGGAGGAGGAGAAGCCATCTTCACTGTACTATCATCTGGGCTGAGGCACCGCTCCTCTATTTCTCCAAGGGCTGGTTCCCCTGGACGTAAGGTATGTCCAGGAGTACCAAACACTGGAGTTCCATATTGACTGTGAAGTTTCTCAGACATCTCTACATTTGCCCTCTTCTCTTCCTCTTCCACAACTCTCTCCCCAGCCAAACCTCTCCCTACAACCTCTCCTCTTCTCTCTGACTCCCCAGTCACAGAGAAGTCCTCACAGGGTGGTGATTTGAAGCCCTTGTCTTCTTCCAGGGAGGAAGTGGGTGAGATGGTACCTGCTGATGGCACATAATCTAAGCCCTGAGTAGCTTCAGTGCGGGAGGAGGGGATGCTTGTGACTGTATCAAGTAGCAAGGAGCTTTTGCCTGTTTCCTCTGTCTGGGGAGCTGTAAGTGAGGCCACGGACTGGTCCTCAGCCACTGATGTGGCAAAGGAAGAAAGCTTGTCACACTCAGTGATTGAAGTGGCTGAAGATACATGCTCCTCTTCAGCCAAAGGGGCAGCCACCATGTTGGGCGGGTAGGTGAGTTCAGTCTCTGGTGCTCCATAGCCTTTGCTTGAGGTGACAGGAACAGCAATATCAGCAGGCTGGCTGGCTTCAAAGGGACCAGGACCTTCAGGCCCAGGGAGGTCATATGTACTTGTAGGGAATCTGGGTGGAGCTGGGCGTTCCTCTGGTTCATCATGGATCTCTTCATCTGAGATGGTCTGCTCAGTCTCTGAGTAACCAGGGATCGTCTCATCCTGGATGTAAGAGACGTGCTCAGTTGCTCCTGCAGGGGTGGCCAGGCTGCTTAGGAATGATGAGGTCTCCCTTTCAGGCACCTTTCCCTGGAGTCCCAATTCCCGGCCCCCAAGAGCCTCCCTGCCCTTTGGGATTACCTTCAAGGCTTCCTGCATATGTTTTTGGTAAAAACCCACAGCCTTTGTCTCTTCCTCTTCTTCTTCATCTGAAGGGTGCACCTCCTCCATTTCTTCTACCTCAGCCTTTTCTATCACATCCTCCTTTGCCTCAGGTTCATTTTCCTCTCTGGCTTCTGCTGTCTCTGGAAGCTTCTCTGTGTCCCTCTGCTTCTTTTCCTCCCAGGTATCTTTCTCTTCCTCTGTTTCAGCCCCAGAGTCTGGGCCTCTGTCTTTGCTGCCTTGTTCTTCAGGGAGGTCTGAGATAACTTCTTTCTCCTTCATTACCTGCTCCTCTTGTTCCAGCCTGGGGGCAGAGAGTTGTGTTCCCTCTATAGCTGTGCTTGGAGGTCCCTCCTCTGTAGTATCTACAGGGAGTGGCTTCTCTCCTAGTCCTATGTCCCTTTGTTCAGCCAGCAAACCTCTCTCCTCACGTTTCATCTCCTCAAAGTCCTGTGTGAGGTCCTCTGGTGAGGATAGGACCATCTCCCTGTGTCCACTGACATTTGGGAGTGGTACAGTCCCCTTCTGCACTGGGGGTGTCCGAGGCTCAGAAGACAGTTCCTTCTCCCCCCGGGAAGCCCGGCTCTTGTCCATCTTGATTCTTCCAGGGGCCTTGGCTTTGTAGAGGGTCTTACGTACCTCAGGGGTAAAGGGCTTCAGGTCTGGTTTGGAAATTTTCTTTGCCTCAGGTTTGGTATCTTTCCTCTTCTCCTCCTTCTTGACATCCTTTTTCTCTTCTTTCCTTCCTTCATCCTTCTTGAGCTCCTTCCTCTCCTTCTTGATCTCTTTTTTCTCCTTGTCTTTTTTCTCTTCTAGCTTTGATATCTTTTCTTTAAGGTGCTTCTTCCCTACCTTGTCCTTGATCAGCTTTCGCTTCTCTGCCTTCAGTACCTCACTTGACTCTGTCCTCACCCTCTCAGGTTTGGCAGGCTTCTCTGGGGGCTTCTCAGATGGCTCTTTTGACTTCTTCTCTGTCTTGGCTAACTCCTTGGCCAGCTCTGAGCGGGCCTCCTTGGCTCCCTCTTCTGCTACTTCCTCCCGTTTGGCCAGCTTGCTCACAGCTGTCTTGGTAGCAGCTTTAAGGCTCTCTTTGCTGTCAGTCCGCTGTTTGATTTTGCTAGGCTTCAGGTTAGCAGGCACAGCCCCAGCAGCCAGGTCCTTCTGTGTGGCCACAGGGTAGCGCAGAAAGTCCAGATGCCGAAGCTTTTCCAGGCCCTCCAAGATCTTGTTCTGGGGAGCATTTCCTGGAAAAAGCACACGTACAATCTTCTCAGTAGGGTTGGCTGGTAGCCAGACCACAAGAGCTGTGATAGAGGTCAAGTAGGGTACTGAGATTTCAGCCTCTTTCCCATTGGCCAACACAATGCCTGTCTTGGCTTTACTATTGCCTGCCCACTTTTGCATGAGAAACTGCATTTCCTTGCTGTCCTTGACAGGGTTGAGAACATACATGTCCAGTCGGCCCACACCCATTTTGTGGAAAAGGGTCAGTGGCTCAATAGTGTTGCTGACCACACGGTACAGAGGCTCGGCCTGGATGCCCAAGCGGTTTAGGTGCTGAAGAGTGAGGCAGGCCTCCTCAATGCTGCGCTTGGCCTTCCGGGAGGCATCAGGCAGCCGCAGCTTATCGGGCACGTTGAAAAAGACAACTCCAAGCTCAGGGGAGATGAGGTTTTTCACCCAATCACTGTAGCTGCTGGAGCCCTGGGACTGCTCCTCCTCTAGTTCTGCCACTTTGCGCTGCAGGAGTCCATTGATGCCTGGCAGGTTGTCTGCCCCAATGTGAGTGAGCAACACTGAGTCAATGCGGTCCAGGTGGCGCACCAGCTTCCAGAAGCAGGACTTGCGATCAGAACCGCCATCTACCAGAATGTTGAAACCATTGACAGCAAAGAGGGCAGAGTCCCCTCGGCCACCTGGGAAGATATAGCAGCAAGGCTTGGAGAGTTTGAGGAAGCCCCCTGAAGTGGGGGGTTCAAGCAGGTCAAAGGGGGATGGCACATCCACAGTCTCAGAAACGTACTCGGAGAATTCAGCCACACCATCCATGGTGGGTAGTATGGGTTCAGGGTTTAGCCGGAGATGCAGGGTCTCTTGGGAACTGGACAGTCCCAGGTGGCTCCAATCACCCTCCCCTAAGCAGGACACAGTGAGGAAGGCCTGGATTCCAGGGTCTCTATTGCTGAGCAATTGGGCAATCTAGAGGAATGGGAAATAGAAGCTGATCAGATCACTGGGTTTGTCTTAGCCTGACTCATATTTAATTCCTTAATCTTCAGCTCTCTCCAAAAGTGAAATCCTACCTTTCTGTCAGTACTCCTAATAGAAAGGCAATATGAGACTTTCCCTTTCTTGGATTCCTCCCCACAATTCAAATCCTGTCCCTTATCCCCTTCTTCCTCAATACTCAGACATGAAACTTACCTCTGGGTTGTGAAGGACCTGTGCAAAATTTTCATAGGAGTAGGTACCACTCTGAAGGATGAGGTCTCCCCCAGGCTCTAAATTTTGCCCACTCAAGATCAGTAGTTTGTGAGCCGATGGGCTACTAAGGAGATGGTGAACCTGGAATGGAAGGAGGGGAGTAGTCACCGATGTGGGGAACACAGTGGAAAGCACTGAATATTCTTGCCTCCATCCAGTACTGCAAGGACATGCCAGCATTGTCCCCTACAACACCTTCAGAGTAGGGCAGGATATTGTAAGTCAGCTTAGATGACGGACAGAGGATTCTTGGCTTAAAGTAGTGGCATTGGAAAGGGTGGATGACATCACTTGCAGCAGTCCTCTTGGCAAGTCACAGGCCCTGGCCTTACCTCAGAGCTGATGCTGTCTGCACTGGGGTTTACCAGGATGATGGTCTCTAGGATCTCACTCTGGTGGCAGAGGGTCCTCTGGCCTGAGAGCAGGAAAGGGTAGAATGCACAATCAGAAAATGGGGCTTAGGGGAAAGAGAGAAGCCTGGTTATCCCTTGACTCTGCTGCCTCGTATACAGTTAAATAAGGTCTAGGAACTGGCTGCTCCAGTCTTTCCCTTTCAGGGTTTCCATCTCCCCTCTCCCATACTGACTGTCTTCTCCCTCCCTTCATCCGCCACACCCTCTGCTGCCCAAGTCCCCACCCTTCTGCCTGAAACTCAGACAGTTGACAAGAAGCTTTTGTCCCTCTGGAGCACCAAGCTCCTGGTGCTGCCTGGGGAGGGAGGGCTCAGCTGGATAGAGGTCTCTTGGGATGATGATCCTTACTAGCTTTCTCCTTGCTAGCTTGCCTTTGCCCTGGGCTTTCATGCCAGCAGAGTGTCTAGAAATAAGAACATGGGAGTTTCTGTGGAGTGTACAGACTCCTAGTCCTCTTTTTCAACCTCCTATCCAAAGCCAGAGCTCCTATTCCAGAAGACAGAGAAACAAGTGCTATCTCAGCTCTTGGGGTTTTACAATTCAAAGTGAATACAGGATCTAACTTAAGGTTCTGTTCTCTAGAGCCAGCCAAACCTGCACTCACACGCGAGTACAATCATTTTGTTCCCATGCCCAAAGTTTTCACAGCTTCTTTTTCCACCTCACCTTCATGTCTCTAGGTTCCAGAGAGGCCTGGTTCACTATCGTACAACCCATTCCTTGTGAATAGTTTCTCCTCTCATCCTCGCCCCTCTCCTATGGGCCTTTCTGCCATGCAGATGGGGAGCGAGGGGTTCACAAACAAGAAACACGTAAATGCTGGGTGTGGTGGTACACCTCTGTAATCCCAGCAACTCAGAGGCAGAAGCATTGCAAGTTCCATTCCAGTCTTAGCAACTTAGCGAGGCCCTAAGCAACATAGCAAGACCCTGTCTCAAAATAAAAAATAAAAAAGGATTGGGGATGTAGCTCAGTGGTAAAGCATCCCTGTATTCAATAATACCAAAAAAAGAAAAGAAATAAAGAAAGACACAAATAAGGAAGGAGAGATTCAGGTGTTCCCCAAACCATGGAGAAAGAAAAAACATCCCCATATCCCCTATTAACTGCCCTTCTCCAGGATCACATGAAACACCAAGCAATGAAGCAAAGGAAGTAGCAGGTTGGACCAATACTAAGAAGGATGCTACTGTTCCCAGCTTCCACCCTTTCTCCCCCACCCTCTTCCCAATTACAGTCACAGTGGAGTTAACCTTACAAGCAGAGAATCCAACAGATGGCCTGGGAAGTGGGCTGTCTGGAGGACACTTGTGGGAGAGCTCATAATCTGCTTCCTAGACCCTCTTCTGTGACCCAACTCTTTTCTTTCTGGGCTCAGACAAGAGGAGCCTGGGGCCAAGGCCTTTGTTAAGAGGAAGAGAAATAATGCTAGGATCAGGAAGATCTGGCAGCACAGGGCTATAAATACAACTGCAGGGGAAATAAACCATGATTGGTGCCAGAAGACCAAATCCCATACGGGGTGTGTTGGGCCCAAAGGAGTTCAAGGATTCTCTTCTATAAACTTGGGATTTGAGGGAAACTCTGAGGTCAGTTCAGAGGACAGAGCCATCTCTGAGCAGGCAGAAGCAAGGTTTGGGCAGGTCAAGATATCAAGGTACAGCAAGCTGCCAGCCTCAAGTAATTTAGATTTAGAAGAACAATGACTCCCCAAACAAACAAGGTCACGTTTTTGAGCTAGAAGGGGCAAAAAGAGAAATAACTATGGTGCAAACTGATTTTCTTTTTACCACTATTCCATACAGCTCCACAGTCCCCAGTTTATAACCACAAGTCCTTTCTGATCCAGTTCCTATCTTAACACAAGACTATTCCTCACTGTACCCCTGGGGAGTGACTCTGACTGTCAGCTCCATGGTTTATATCCTTTTCCCCTCTTTTTCAGGTCTGGGGGAAAGCCTATTTCTCTCTTCTACATCCCAGCTCTCCCACTGAAGGGAACCGACTATTTTTTTTTTTCCTTTTTCTTTGGAGAGGATTATTTTGAGGCAGGGGCACTTCACTTGGCCGGTACCGGGGTGCAGGGTGGGCTGCGGGTGTGGAGGCTGAGCAGACAGGAGGGCAGGTGTCTCCGCAGTGAGGCAGAAGGGAAGGGGGGGGGGTGATCCGGCAGCTGCAGTTTGCCGCAGTGTGTGTGAGTGTGCGCACTGAGCTCAGCCTCCAGCTCCGCCCCCACCCCCCACCCCAGCATGACAAGTCATTTTCTTGGCTGCTTCTGCATGGGGGGTTGGGGTGGGGGGGAACGAAGAGAGGGAGAAGAAACTGGCTCCCCTGTTCAAGAGCCCCCATCTTGGGAAGAAAAGCAGAGATGAGGTGGGGGTGGGGCTGAGACAGGGAACCTGAGGGGTAGAAAGTACCGGGAATGCAGGGCAGCTGCTGGGGAGGCAGCGCTCTCAATCTCTGAAGTGGCCTCAGAGGGGCCACAAAGGTGGTGGTGGGGGTTAAAGCCCCAGTCTCAAAGCGGCCCACAGGGTATGGGGTAGGGGGAACCCTTTGCAAACCGGTTGGTCTGTGAGGAGGCATGTGCCACGTCTTAATGACCCTTTTCTCCCTTCTTTTCCATAGTGTTCCCCACCTTCCCTTACTTGGCAAAAACTCGCTACCCCATTCACCCTCAGCATAGGAGCAGCTAAGCAATCCAGCAGTTGACACCCAGGAACCCTCCCATTAGGTGCATTCCCATAACACCCCTTTTTTCAGATTCTTCTGCCTCTCACCAAAGACAGCCCCCAAAACCCTCCAGCACCCTGAGCTGCCAGGCAGAGCCAGTGGCACCACCCTCTGCTGCTGCCCCAGGACTGATGTCTCCCACCCCCGCCCAGCTGCAGAGGTGAACTGTCACAGCCCCTGGTCGCCTCTGCCTGCTTCTGGGTCCAGGATGACCCCCGTGTTCATCCTCTCTTTCCATTCCCCCAGCTTGCCCAACCCGCTGGGCTAGTTCAAGATGCACCAGATTGCCAGGTACCAGCTCCCTTTCTGTTACCCCCATCCCATCTCCCTATCACAGCACCCTCACTTCTCTGCCATTGCAAGCCCATCGGTTTGGTTCTTACCCTGGGGTGTGGAAGGGAGCCCCTCATGGAGGCGGCAGCTCCAGCCTCAGCAAGCAGCTTCAGGGAAGAGTCTGCGGCACTTGGGGTGGGAGTGGGGGTGGGGGGGGCGCTAGAAGGGGAGGGCGGCGCCAGGGCGGGGAAGAGGGGCTGGTCTGTGACGAGGCACTAGAGACTTAACTGTTTCTTTCCCTTCACAATGTCAGTGCTCCATTGCTTCAGTTTGGCTGTAGTGGGCTGAGGAGTTGTCTAACAGTTTAAAGAGCCAGGGTGACATCCTATGGCCCATAGTATTCTTCTTGCCCAACCCTGCTTAGTTAAGAAATACCTTTTCAGCATCAGCCTAAAGACCAAAGCCCTATTTGCTAGAACACAGAGCAGGGATATAGAAGACCCGGGCCACATGGGCCCTCCCCTTTCTCTTAGAAACCGTCTGCTGCCTCTTCTCTTAGATGGACCCAGGGAATGAACTTCAGTCCCTGTAGGAGCAGGAGACAAAGAGGCTGGGGGCCCCAACATGAGGGGTAGGTGGGGGATGGGAGATATGCTGAGCTAAACTTTCTTTTGAACCACAGCTATAGACACAAGAGAGAGCAGAAATTAGTTTGTTTTAGGGTGAAGGGTGGTTTGAAATTCTGGAGTGGATATGTTTCCTAGCCTGTTGGGGTGGGGCACAGGGACCCTGAGGCACAAGTCTGTGCCAATGCAACACAACAGAGCAACCACAAAGGCCCTGATCCTTGGGATTCTTGAGTCATTAGACATAAGGAAGCATCTCTGAAGGGGCAGGGAGATTTCTGCTTTCAGAGAAGGAATTAACAAGGACTAAGGACCACCAGCTCAAGCAAGGTTTTCTTATTATATGCCAATTATTAATGTAATATAAAGTACTGTTTGGATTAAGAAAAAAATTTAATAATTTTCTAAGGTGATTGGGTCTCTATACCCTTCTTTTCTCTGTACCATTTTGTATCTCTTTGATGTCTATGTCTTACATTATCTTGATCCTTCTATTGTTGACCCTGTGTCCCTTAGTCTCTACCTCTGTCTTAGATATACTAAAGTATTTCAGAAGGATCTGAAGAGCTCTGCCATTGACTTCCAACAGTGATGCTTAGGCTCTCACACCCTGCCCTCTCCTCATTAACCCTCCCCAGTCCTGGCCAGCTCCTAAGACCTTGGCACAGAGACTTTCACCCACCCACACCACAGCAACGGCCCCACCCTTGCCCCTGGCTGCCAAGACTGCTTTTGAAGGTCAGAGAAGCCAAAATAGTCTCTGCTTTCAGCATCCCCCCCCCTCAACTGCAGTCAGAGAAGAGGAGCTGAGTCACCAGTACTCCTGGGGGGGGGGAGGCGGGAGGAATCCTTGCTCAGATCCGGGGATGCTAAGCAGCAACATGGCAACAGCCCCATTAGGAAAGAAGAGGCCATCTGCAGAGGTACACAATGCAAACCAGACTAAGTTCAGAGCATCACAAAAGGGAAATACCTCCCTTCTGCAGCTTCATAGTTCTTATTTCCTCCTACCTGAGCCTTCTATCTCTTTTCTGCTTTCTAGGGCTCTCTGGAGTGTTAGGAGGGAAACTTGAGTAGACATTTGACTTGAGAACAAAATAATATTTCCCAACCCAATGTGGAGCCCACCCTTGTTCTTAGCTGCCATTCCCAAGGGCCACACCCTGGGCACAGGTCCAACTCATAGCAGAGCTTTCCTTCAGCCCTCACCCTCTGAACAGCCACCCACAACAACCAACCCTCAACCTGCTGTGTCCCTAGTTTCTGCTGCAATGCAATGATGAGATGCCAAAGAAGAGAGACAGGCTAGAGCTCAGGCACAAAGTAAGATCAGAGTCCCTAGATTTGAGACCCAACTCCACCATTACTAATCATGCTTTTAAACAAGCTACTTTATTTCTCTCAGAGCTTGCTTCCTGAACTATAAAATGAATATAATCTTAGTACCATCCTTTAATAATTCTGTAAGGATTGACTAGCATAAAAGATGAAAAGTGCTGTGTTCCTGAAATCTTAAACTTGCAATGTAAACTTGCCACTGGAAGTCTGCAAAAAGTCACTTAGGTGATCAGGGAAATCCTAAATCAGAATTTCAGACCAGATGAATCCTGGACTACCCCAAGTTTCCAGGTTAAGCCAGGACTGGAGATGCTCTGAAGAATGAAACTTAAGGTTCTATTCATGTTCCTGTTTTCCCATTTCAGACAGCAACATGGACCCTAGTTCCAGGGACCAATTAGCTGTTGTCTTAATTCAGGATAGCTTTCTTGTTAGCAGGAGTAACCGAACTATCCTTTCTGAGCACACCGATGATAACAGAGAGTCAAACAGAAGATCTCAAATGGGTTCCTCAGGCTGTTTTTTAGTCCTTAAATATCAATCCTCCTTTTTTTCTTTTTCTTTCGTGTGTGTGTATGTGTGTGTGTGTGTGTGTGTGTACTGGGGATTGAACCCTGGGGTGCTCTACCGATGAGCTACATCCCCAGGCCTTTATATTTTCTTTTGAAACAGGGTCTTACTAAGTTGCTGAGGGTCTTGCTAAGTTTTTGAAGCTGGCCATAATCTTGTGATCCTAGAGATGCTGGGATTGTAGGCAGGTACCACCACACCCAGCCAATCCTCCCTTTTCTATAGGTGCTCAGTAAAATTATCATAGTATTATTTAAATTCAGTTTTTCTCTCTTTCTTTTCTTCTTTCTTTTCCATTTTTCGTTTTTCGAAATGTTGGGGATTGAACCCAGGGTCTTGTACATGCCAAGCAGATGCTCTATCACTAAGCTACATCCCCAGGCCCAAAGTTATTTTCCATTGTTCTAACAGTTTCTAGGTTTGTGTTAAAATGCTTAGAAGCTGCAGATATTTTTGCCAGAGTTATAAAGGAAAGCCCCAAGTCACAGCTGGTGACTACTTGATGCAAAAGCTGCCCTTGAAAACTTTTACCAGGCTTGACCACTAGAAGGAGCTGGGCCACTGGCTATCCTTCAGAAGGTCCCTCATTTCTGTGTGTGGGTGGATAAATGTGGAGGGGGTGGTGCCTAGGAATAATTGCACTCTTCCTGTCATCACTGTAGGATACATTTTTTGTCCCCTTTCTCATCATTTTGGCCCAGGTTAGAGATGGTGATAGAAATGGTGGTCCAGTCTGTGAGGTAGGCAGAAAAGGGTCAAGTCATAAGGCACTAGCAATTGTCCTTTGCCTCCTCACTCACATGAGGCTGAAGGGAGGGGCAGTGTCTGCAGCTGCTCTGAGCTGACTGTTGTTTGTGGGGACAGCTGAAAGAGGAGCCAGCAGGGGTGGGGCTGTGGCTGTGGCTGTCTTGAGCTCTGTAGGGTTTTTTCCAGGAAATTCTCCACTATTCTCCAGGGAAACAGACAGGCCACTGTGAAAATGTCCAAACCTAAAAAATATCAATATGCTAAAGTAAGCCCTGATAATGAATGATCATAAGCCCCTGGAGGACACCATAGCAAAACTCTTTGATTGAAAAGGTCTAGTAAGTGTTTCTCTATCTGTGATTGAGAATAATTATACAGCTCCCTGTAAGCCTCTTCCCAAGATCCCTTCATCTTAATCTGCAAAAGTGCCTAAGAACTTTGATTTAAGTTCTGATCATTTCTTTTCATTCCAGAAAATAGCTTACTTTCAAGTCTCTGTGGCCAAAGGGACAAGGTAAGAGAATTCTGTGTGAATTATTAATATCAGCAGGTAATCTCCAAACTTAAATTTAGTCATTAATTTCATCCTCTTGCGCTGGGGTTGTAGCTCAGTGGCAGAGTGCTTGCCTAACATGCGTGAGGCATTGGGTTCAATCCTCAACACCACATAAAAATAAAAACAAATAAAATAAAGGCATTCTGTCCATATACAACTACAAATTTTTAAAAAAATTTCATCCTCTTTCATCCCTTTATCACCTTGTACTAATGCTTCTAGGAGTACTAAGTGGTAAAACGGTTGATTCCTAGTCATCAGGGAAAAATGGAGGAAGCCATGACATGAATAACTTTAAATAGAAAGTAGTCTCAGTGACAAATGTAAATGTGGGGCCCCTTTTTAAAAGATCATTAAGAATTTCAAGATAGGGACAAATAAGCTGTAGTCCTTCTGACATGGGGTGACAGGAACTGCACAGTTCTCATTCCCGTGAAACTGAGGAGGTAGGAAAGGTCATTTTGGATTCAGTCATTGTAAGTTCTGCTTTGCTTTATTCATTACCAAACATTTTAATTAAGCGTTCCAGCCTCTCACAGAGTGCAGTGATGCACGCCTGTAATCCCAGTGGCTGGGGAGGCTGAGGCAGGAGGATTGCAAATTCAAAGCCAGCTTCAGCAAAAATGAGGTGCAAAGCAACTCAGTGAGGCCCTGTCTCTAAATAAAATACAAAATAGGGATGGGTATGTAGCTCAGTGGTTGAGTGCCCCTGAGTTCAATCCTCGATACCAAAAAAAAAATAGTTCCAACCTCTCATAAACAAATAAATAGAAGGTGGTATCAAAAGAGTAAATGGCTATGGCTAGCTTTACAGGAAGCCAATAACATCAGGAAGATGACAGCCTCACATTTTTGAATTGCTGCAGATATTCCTAAGGTAATGGAGCTTTAGTCATATTAACCTTTTCAGCAGCATCTCTAGAGCAGTTAGTGATCAAGACACAACAAAAACATTTCTGACAGTTAAGAGAAAGAGCAGGAAGAAGAGAGGTGACTATCTACCTTAGAGAACTGAGAATTATCTATACGTGAATTCAGTTACTTGGTGGCATGGATTTTATATTTTATAAAGCTACGTGGTCAAGCTTTCAAAATTTACCAATAAGATGATTAGATACCTGGTACTTTTATAACAGGATGTAAGACTTTCTGTAATCTCCCCTTCTGTCATGGAATGATGGTTCTTAAAATATTTTCTCAAATCAAACTCATTTCTCAGACCCAGCAGAATGAGAAATCACCTTCTGTAAGGTGATTTCAGTCCAAATCTCACACTGTAACTGGCTCCTGTAACAATAAATCCAGGAGAACCCATCTTTCCATCTTGGATTTGATGGTTCTTATTAGCCTTTGGCACCAGGATTCTGCCTACTCTGGAGATCTGTTGGTTAGGCCAAAGGCAGATGTAGAAACCCTGAATCCTGGAGAGTAGATTTTGCTAAGCAAGAGTCTGGGAAGGTGAGTGGGACATTATGGGGTGTCTGTAAAGGGAAGCAGGGATGCAGAAAGGGGTATGCAGAAAGGGGAACACAAATGAAAAGAGTGGATTTTTGCACGAGAGTTGATCGATCAGTCAAAATGAATACCTCAACATGGCAACAGCTGTCCACAAACAATTCTCTTTTTGGAGAAATTATGTTCTCCAGGTTCCTTCTACTATCATACCCTGTGTCTGCAAAGTACACTGGGTATGTGGAAATAGCTATGGAGACCTTCGACTTTTCCATCAGGAATCCTCCCTTCTCCCCTGCCCCACGCCTCCCACAATTCCAGTTATGCCAGGGAGACTGGACCTCTGCGTTTCTGTGACCAACCCTCACCCAAAGCACTGAGACAAATGACACTAGTCCTAACCTTTGACCTCTGAGGAGAAGTGAGCTAGGTGCCGGGTAATGAAGAGTCTCAACTGTTGGTTCAAGTCAAAGGATGATAAGTCAATGTTCCAGGAGAGAATCCCTGTGAGAGAAAAGAAACAAAGAGGGTTCTATTTTTTTTTTAAAGAGAGAGTGAGAGAGAGGGAGAGAGAGAGAGAATTTTAATATTTATTTTTTAGTTTTTCGGCGGACACAACATCTTTGTTTGTATGTGGTGCTGAGGATCAAACCCAGGCCGCACGCATGCCAGGCGAGCGCTCTACCGCTTGAGCCACATCCCCAGCCCCAGAGGGTTCTAGATAGAGTTAGTGGGTAGGACTGCAGGAAGCACTTTCAATCTCACATAAGGGGAAGGAAAAGAGGGGATCAGGACAGCTGCCATGATCAGCTATCTCTAAGAAGGATGATTAGTATCTTTGTCTATCTCCTAACCTGCACCTTTTCTTGCCAGTGCCAGAGGAGGACAGAGTTTAGATTAAACTCCGTCATTAATGAATTTATAGGTAGCAATTTTCTAGAAAGATTGCCCAGTTCTGGTAAAAGTAGATCCTAAAGGACCTATACTGTGGACTGCCTTCCTGGTCTTTACATCTTAATCAGATTCTAGATTCTCCCTTCTATCTTTCTATGCCCCTCTCCTTTCCTCCACCCCTAGGCGGCTAGCTTCCACCCGCAGGTGGCTCCGCAGCACTGCGCCACAGGCACAGGAGAGGGAGGTGAGGACTGAAGAGCTGATGGTCCCGAAGGTCACTCTCACGTTGGCTGCTGTCATTCAGAGATTTGACATTTGTACGCCGCGTTCAGAAACTTCCCTGTGCGGTTCAGGGACCTAAAGAAGAAACTGAAGGTAGGGACATGGACTTTACAGGGAATGGTGAGGACTTTCAGGACACTGAGGGAGAGGGGTGTGGTGTGACCAGAGGGGCTTCAGGGCCTGCACAGAGTTCCCCCTACTCAAGGAGATTGCGGAGTAGCACCGGGTGTGAGGAAAGGATGGGGAAGCAAGATGTTAGCAGCTTGGAAGGATACAGACACAGTCATGGACGATGCAGGTGACAGGGGCGCGTGTCTCTGGAAGTGCGGAATGGGATGGAGAATGCAGACGTGCGTAATGGGAGATGAATGCAGATGGAGGAGAAGCAAGGGTGGAGGTGCTGCAGGCACAGCCAGGACAGCAGCTCACCTTGTTCAAGGTGGGCCCGCACGGCCCTCAGCTGGCTCTCTGTACCGATATCGCCGATCACGATGAGCAAAGAGTGTTTTCTCAGGTCCCAGCGTGCCGCCGCCACCGCGGCTTCGGTCTCGCACAGCCGCTCCGCAGGGTTCTGAGACAGCGGTGAGCCCGAGCTTCGGAGCTCCAGCCCCGGAGTTGTCTCCATGGCAACGCCGCGAGGCCGCGCCGGCCGGGCCTCGGTCTCCATGGAAACTCCGGAGGAGTGCTTTGCCGGCAGCGTCCGCTGCAGACAGACTGAGCGCGGTTCTTAAAGGCCAGCGGCAGGAGCCGCTCATTGGTCGCTGCCTGTCAGAGGGCGGTGCACTGACGCCGCAGGGGCCGGGCTGGGGCACCCGAGCCTCTGGCTTTGCGTTCTCGCTGGGTTGGAGGTGGTGGCCGCCACCTTTAACCCCCCTCCAGTGTTCCAGAAGGTGCTTCCACTCCGACTTGAGCTGGGGTAGGGGCTCAGAGGGACCCAGCGGAGGGCCCAGTCGATTGTCTTGGCGCCAGAAGAAGCCGCTAGTTAGGATGTGTCCCCGATAAGTACTGTCTGGCAATTCCGCAGCCTCGCCCTAAGTGAGGGAGCCATCTTGTCCCTCTGTCTCCGAGTTTATATCGTCTCCATCTGTGTTTGTGCGTCTGTATTATCGTCTGGCGTTTTTTTTTTTTTTTTTTTTGGTCACTGCCTGCCAGGGCCCTGGTTTCCATCCTCTGTTTCCCTGTCCTTGCCCCAGGCCCTGGGTGTGCTCAGAAAGGCTGCGCAGTACTGGGACAGAATGACCTTCCGGCCCTGAGTCCCTGGTGAGTTGTTATTCCAAAGATAGTGTTTGGCTAGTCTCCATCTCTGCTGAGTGCAGGACTCATGAGTGCTATGAGGTCAGACTGCAGCAAAGGGGATTTGAGTAAAACCTAGGAAAGACCTTCCCAACTACAAGTGATGTGACACCGGGAAATCAGTAACCTTAGGAGGCCCTAGAGAGTTCTCAAAACAGAAGGGGTAATGTTTGAACCAAAAAAGAGGTGACGGTTCCCAAACCAAACAATCAGGGAATGGGAAGGAGAATTGAGGAGGCCTGGCACTGTTTTATGACTTACTGGAATGTCTTTATAAAAACGGTGTTGTGAGTCTACCCCACCAACCCATTCCTCCAGGTGTTTCCCCTGCCTGTTCTGCACTACAGCCTCTTTTACCAGGATACAAGAATCATTGTGTGCATATATGTACCAGACTGAAGGCCTGTCTTTTACCCTAGGACGCCAGCTGCCGTCTTCTTCTTCTTCTTTCTTCTTCCATTTACCTCACACTTTGGGGATGGTAGAGGGTGGTAGAAAGGAGCAGATTATCTGATTCAGCAAGGCTGTCTGTGAACCACATTCTGATTGGGCAGTGTCTATTTGTCAAATACCTCACAGCAATCCTGGTCCCTAGCATGGAACGTGTGCTATGGCAAAACAGCCATTGCATTCTCTATCCAATTGAACATGTCTCTGAAAATCCTTTTTGTAGCAGAGAAAGGGAAATGAGTACTGGTAGAACATTAGTTGGTGGGGGTGCTTCACTCCATATGACATATGAGATAATGACCCCCACCCCCGTTTGCAGCTCTGAATCTGGAAAACAGCATGAAGAGATGTGCAGACCTCCTTGTCTGCAATTGGAAAAGAGTACTATGTGGAGGCAGAGAGTCAGAATGGATTGTGGGAATAGGTAGGGGTCAGTTTCCATAGCAACTCTAGAGCTAAGGCTTTTAACTGGCATAGGGTCTCAGAGTAAGGTTCAGCAGCAGTTAACCAGAGACTCTGCTTTCATCAAGTCTAACACAGAATAGACAATAGATCTTAATGGTACAGGAAAGGATTGCACACTGATCAGATGGTATTGGGGCAGAAATTTAGGCCTGTAATCTCAGATCCTGCTAGAGTTGGATTTTATTAATTATAGCTGTAAATATAGACTATGATAAACTAAAATCACCTATGTGTGCTGGATGAGTACTCAGCAGGACCTTTGTCAAAGGCAGACAATGTCAGAAAGGTTAGCTACAGGTTTCTCTTTTCCAGTCACTGGGTAATGATTCCATCATATTATCAGAAAATAGTTTTAAGTGTCAGATTGCACATACTGTTTATTCAGAGTGCTCTGAAAAGAAAATTGTATTCATATCTGTGCTCTAGAATTTTACAACTAAAGGCAGAAAATACAGATGCATATGTGTACAAAATATGGAAAGCTGTATAAAAAATTAAGAAAATACATATATAAATTACAAAGCATATTTTTACATAATAAGGGTTTTTAAAAAATTTTTAGTTGTTGATAGATCTTTATTTAATTATTTATTTATATGTGATGCTGAGAATTGAATCCAGTGCCTCACACATGCCAGGCAAGTGCACTACCACAGAGCCCCAGCCCCAGCCCCTACATTATAGGTTTTTATATAATAGGTTTTCACCTATTACGTGTAAACATTTAGGAAGTGTACTGTGGCAGAAGCCTAATAGTAAAAGGATGTCATTCAAAGACCCATCCAGGGGGATTGTTAGGGATCTGCCAATATGCATGAATGTGAGGTACGTACACGAGGGTGTACAAGGTGACTATGGAGTCTATTATAGTGTTTCATTTAACTGTCAGTCCCTGTATTGACCACATAAGAGCTTTTGGGAACTCCCTCATTCTGTAACTTCTTCCACGGTCTTATCAAGCAAGATTGGCAGATATAGTGGTACGACTAATGTTTTCAAACTGTTTGTGCGGAAGGACCTTTATATTGTGTAATGGGTCTCTTAAGGGTGTATTACTGAAAAAGGTAGTTAGAAGAGGAAGGCAGTAGTATAAGCTCTTGCCTTGGGTGCGCACTGGAATGGGCACAACACAAAAGATAGAATAAAATCTCAAATACTATGAAAGGTGTTATAGCTTTGGCTGTGTTTGAACCAGTTAGGGAGTTCTCAGCCCCAGGCCTCTCTGAGTTCATAATATATGGTGGTGAATTATCCAATAAATAAGTACATTTACATAGTGGGAGAGCCATATCTATAATTTTTCTGAAAATAGCTTCATATTTTATATTAAAAATAAAATATTGAAATTGCCAAATGAGAAAAATCATTTTGTGGCAATTAATCACATTCATCTTGAGGTATGTGTATGTATGGTAAGGGGAAAACATCATAATCTTTTTTTAAAATTTTTTTTCAGTTGTTGATGGACCTTTATTTTATTTACTTTTATATGGTGCTGAGAATCCAAACCAGTACCTCACACATACTAGGCAAGCACTCTACCACTGTGCTATAATCCCCGCCTGAAAACATCATAATCTTTGTAGTGTTTAAAATCTTCATGAGATTTCAATGAGCTTTGGTAATTCATATAGAAAAGATGCTGGTTTCTCTTCTAGCCTGATGAATGTCATTAGTTTTTCTGGGGATTTGAGCTCATTTGGCAGAATTCCAGCATGCTCTGCTAGATGGTATGGTCCTATCAACCAAAATATCCAAAGGGAGCCGCATGCAGCTCAGATTCCCACCCTGTACTCAGTTCTGCTTATGATGCGTTCTTCATACAGAGAGAAGCATGTTGGATAACAAGATTGCTGTGTCATAGGCTTATTCTTGATTTTTTGGGAAAATACTATGATTATAATGCATACCAGCAGTCATAAGGTCACCTTTTAGCATGAACAGCTCATTCATCTATAAAGGACAGATGTAAAACAACCTCTAAAAAGACTCTGAGTACAATAATCTCTAGAAAGTCTGAAATGGATGAGAAATGCTGCAATTATTACTATGTGTGCTCCACAGAGGAGGCCCATAATAAATATTTATTGAGTAACTTTCTTAATTATTATTTATTCACACTAAGTAAATGGGTAGGACAAAGGCAATGAATTTACCTTCCATCTACAGAGCATTGTGAAGGACAATGAAGAAATTTCCTTTTTATCCTGTTGCCCCATGCTCTTTTATAAAGAAAGTGATCCTCAATGTGAATAAGAAACCTTTATGGATACTGTCTTCCTTTATTACTTCCGTTAGCCTGTGGTCTCTGGCACCATCCTTTACTTTAGTGTGAGCAAAGCTATCTCTTATTGTGGGGAACTCTCAAACCTAAGTGTATGGTATTACTCAATTTTGAGATCATGACTGTGTGAATCAAATTTTGCATTATCAAGGGAATACTCCCTGTGTGTTTCATTTGCTGGCATACAGTGAGTACTCAAACAGTTTTGAATAAATTATGGACATTGTGCTAAACGTATTTAAGAGGTTGTTCCATTTATTTCCCAAAATACCCCCTATAAGGTCGGGTACTATCATTATAATTGTATAGGTTGGGAGAATAAAGCAACTTTATTAGAGAAGGTAAGCAGCTTGCCTAAGTTCATGTAGTTGGCAAGTAAGGAAGTCAGTTTAACAGAAGAAGCTGTGTTTAGTTAAGTCATATTCCTAATTATCTATGGAATGAAATGAAACCTTAGTTTACAAATAAAGTAAAGCATAAAGGTAAATGTAACTAAATATCTAGATGGGAATTAATCATTCAAGAAAAAAGGGATAGCCTAAACAGAAAGTATAGAATGAGGGAAAGATAAATGGTTTAGTTTGACTGAATGAAAGGGGTAATGCAGAATATATGCAGGAGGAAAGGTTGGAAAGGGAAGTTAAGGTGTATTATGAAGGATCTTTAAGAAAGAACTGAAGAGAAAGAAGAGGAAAAATATTTGTGATTTTGTGGTATTGTAAAGTCCTCAAGGTAGTAGTATGCTTTGCATATTCAAAAAATACAAGGGACCTAATGTGACTCCAGCAGAAAAGTGAAAGAAGAATAGGAGATAATAGGAGCCAGATCACATGTTAGCCAGGAGCAGTGCTTCACACTTGTAATCCCAGTGATTTAGGAGGCCGAGGCAGGATAATCATAAATTTCAGGCCCCCCGGACAACTTTTTTTTTTAGATGTTGATGGACCTTTATTTTATTCATTTATTTATATGCGGTGCTGAAAATTGAATCCAGTGTCTCACACATGCTAGGCATGCACTCTACCACTGAGCCATGACCCCAGCCCTCAGCCTGGACAACTTATCAAGACCCTGTCGATCCTCAGCACCACATAAAGATAAATAAATAAAATAAAGGTATTGTGTTTAGCTACAACTAAAAAATAAATACTATTTTTTTTTTTGGTAAATAAAAAGAAAAGACCCTGTCTCA